GAGACAAAGGAAAGTACGGTTCGGGTCGGACGGGAAGCCGACAGTGCGGTACCACTGCTTCATGTTTTTCAGCGATTGAAAGCCCCGATAGTTGTGGTCGTTTAGGAATGACTCTCTCCGGTGATAATTCACCCGTCGGTCGTCCCGTTTGCGCACTTTGAACCACTTGTCGCCCATTCGCTGATAGCCAGCGATCGCACAGTAGGTCCAGTCGTGACAAATGTTTTTGCCTTTCAATATCTTATTGGCTTTTGTGGTCAAATTAGCCGCTGTTTTGTCCACTCTTTGGCTGTGTTTGCGGCGATGAAGTAGTAATGACTGCATAAAACCAAATGTCTTTCGGCAGCCCTTTTCCAGACACGAGAAGCGCTTTGTGTCGACAATGAGATCAGTATTTATTGGTTCAAAATCGGGTTCACTAGTGGTCGGCGCCGGCGATAATAATGATCGATATGTCTGCGCGTATGGATCCGCTGATGGCATTGGATTTGTGTCACATTCCACGGCTGTTATCAATGTCTGGCTATTACGCGGACGTGTCGACGACGACTGGCCAGATGTGTGGGCCGGCAGTCGACCAGTGACTAGCTTTTTATTGGCGGACAAACTTTTTGGCTGTTTTATCGCATTATCTCTGATTTGATCCGATGTTGTGGCCACAGATGGCAAAGAGATTACTCTTAAATGCTGACCGTATTGTCCAATACGCTGTCTATGCGTACGATCGTTGAGCTGATCCGACGATCGGATTCCGTAGCCATAACTCGGTTTGCTTTGAACAACGCTGTGATCACTATTAACCCCTTCGCTGGTGTCGGCGCTGTTGACCACTGGACTCGTCGGCAGAGTATTGGTAACAGTGGTCAGCGATTGTGGCCTCAAGTGGTCGATAAACACGTGACGGATAATGACTTTCTGGTTCTTATCGACCACTTCTTGGTCGTCGGCACAGAGACAGCACAGATAAAACTTGTGGTCATTGATTACCACTATTTCCACCGCGTTGTCCGCCATTCTCTTAATCGTGATGTCTTCGGGATGTGTTCGCTGTAGGCATACCTCGTGAGAGTCGATGTCCGCCAAGACTTGGTTTTAGTGATAATTGTCTCGCATTTCACATAAAAAGCACGTTTTGTACAAAACTTTTGTTAGTTTTACATTTAAATGCAATCACATTTTATTTCATAGATTTGTCCGTAAATAACGTCCACTAAGAGTGACATAACGTATGGATTGTTGTGTATTGACTGCCAATGGCTGAGGGTTTGGGTCAGTCATTGCCCCCAACGGCACGTTATTTAGTGTTTGTATTTCATCACAAATTATTAAATATTAAATTTTACCAGTTTTTTAATGACTTAAGTCTTAAGCCTTTGTTGTGTGACATTTGAGGGACCGGTAGTTAAATGTGATTTGTATTAACTCGTGATTAATTTATAGTTAATTTAATGATTAAATTTGAGTGAAATCAAGTTTTGACATTTTTATTTATTTTATAACAATAGGATTAAAATACAATATATCCAAAGTTGAATGTAATTTACTGTTATTATATTTAATCTAATATTTAGTTATTAAATATTATAATTCATTAATAATTATATAACTAAATTGTGTTATTCAATTTTTTAATTAAAAATTTATTTACAATTTATAATTTACTTAAAAATGAATCTAAAATTGTAAAATATTTTACCCAAAAAATAAATAAATAATTTTATGAATAAATTCATTGAAAACGTATTACAAGAATAGGTTTTAGAATAATTATTACAACAATTAAATTGATGTTAAATTAAACAATTAAAATGAGTTCCAATCTTGTTTTATAAACAGCTGAAAATTTGGCGAATTAAGAGTATTTGTAAATTCAGTCATAAATTTTTACAATTAATTACAACAAAAATAAGTTTACAATTGTTTTGTACACCAATTGTAAACCAGATTAACAATAAATAAGATCTTAAAACACAATAGACTGCGTTAACGATTAATAAATCGCAAAATAATTACAAAAAAAAGTTTATGAATAAAAATAACACAAAAAACTAAATCCTATTTAAAGAACAATAGACTGACCACTGATTTAATTGACAAAATGTTTGCCACTTAAATGTATAGATATGTACTCCAGAGTCGTGGCCGGGAAGTGACACTCTTGTGGCCGGAATTGGCAGACATAGTGGTGGCGGCCGTCGACGAGGCGGAGGTCAAAGAATTGCCGAATCCGTACCAATCGTTCCAACTCTTGCATAGATTTGCGGTATCGGGCGGTCGAACAGGTCATCACATTCTTCGCGCGCAACCATTCGGTGATCTCTGGGCTAACTCGGGAGCGGCGCCGACGCTCATCGGTGGCTATATTCTCGTCAATGATCTCAAAGTCGTCGTCAAAGCTGTCATTCCTGTCATCATTGACGGCCAGTGCGGACGTCGAGGGTTGGCCTGTAAGGCCAATGTTGGCCAAAATGTTAGAAACGGCAGAGTCTTGGGCGGCGGCGGCACCGGGAGGTGGGGAGCACTCGAACCATTGGTTGCGAAACGGGCACAGATGGTTGTTGTGGATGTGGCGAGCGATGGACCGGTGAGGGGTTGTGTAGCCGCAGAGACTGCACATACGCTTCTTAACGCCCTCATCGATGACAAACCGTTTGTATTTATATATGTTTCGGTTACCGCACGGCCCGCCTATGGTGTTGCCATTGCCGGCCCCGAAACCGCACCGATGGTTCATTTCGTGGATCCGTTTGCTGTTGGGCTCGAGATATACTTTACCGCAATAGCGGCACTCGAATCGCCGGTTCCGGAAGTGAACGATATTCAAGTGACGGGCCATTCGTTGCGACCCAAGCGTATGATACGGACAGACAGTGCCGTCGGCGGCCATCTCGTAGAGGCAACGGTACCGCTTTTGGCCGCCGCTGGGGTCGCACTCATACCACTCTTTCAAGTCTTTCAGCGATTGTAAGCCCCGGTAGTTGTGGTCGTGTCGATAGGACTCCTTCTCGTGCCGATTGACACTGCGGTCAGTCTTCACCACTTTGAACCACTTGTCGCCCATTCGCTGATAGCCGGCAATCGCGCAATACGTCCACTCGTGGCACCTGTCGTCGAATATCAATGCGTTTGAACGGACAGCTGACGTGGCTTTTGGTATTGTTATGGCTTTTGTGGTCAGATTTGCTGCCGTTTTGTCCACTCGGTTGGTGTGTTTGCGGCGATGAAGTAGTAGTGATTGCATAAAACCAAATGTCTTTCTGCAGCCCTTCTCCAGACACGGGAACCGCTTTGTGTCCACAATAAACTCGGGTTGACTACTGTTAGAGACTAATGATATTGATCGATGAAATGTTGGTGCAAACGGTGCCGCCGCTGGCACTCGAGTTGTGCCATGTTTTGCTGCAGTTATCATATTCTGGTCATTACGCGGACCGACCGGTCGTCTCGACGACGACTGGCCAGATGTGTGGGCCGGCGGTCGACCAGTGATGACAGGTCTGGCTTCGGGCAAATTCTTTGACTGTCTGTTCGCAAAATTTCTGATTTGATCCGCTTTTGTGGCCACCGATTGACGATCTAATGGCAAACAAATGTCATTCATATGTTGTTCCACACGCTGTCTATACATACCATCGTTGAGCTGATCCGGCGGCGATCGGTGGTCACCGTTGCTATAGATATGCGTGCGTTGAACGCTATGCCCGCTATTGGGGTCATCGCTGGCGTCGGGACTGTCGGCCACCGAACTCGCGGCCAGAGTGTCGGCCGAAGCGACGGTCATCTCCTCCTTCAGCACGTGCCGAACGATGTCTTTCTCGTCCATTTCGACCACCGCTTCGTCACCACAACAGAGACGGCACTCGTAATACGTGCGGCCCTTAAAGCTGTTCGCCTCGTAAGCGTCGGCGTAAGCGTCCGACTGATCCATGTCTTGAGCACAGCTGTTGTGTCTTCGCTCGTGTGTATGGATACCACTCCTCCTCGTGAGTGGATGTGTGTCTGCCCGAAGAGTTTGGTTTTACTGATAATTGTCTCGCATTTCAAATACAATAACACAATACAAAAGCCATACGTTTTGTTTGACTCAAAAAACGTATTTCACTTTTTATTCATTCATTTTTGTGTCCATAAATAACGTGCACTAAGAGTGACATAACGTATGGATTGTTGTGTATTGACTGCCAATGGCTGAGGGTTTGGGTCAGTCATTGCCCCCAATGGGACGTTATTTTCGATTTCATCATTAGGTTTGCAGTTTTTCAAGTTTTTCAATGACTTTTCTTAAGATTGTATGACTTTTAAGGGATGAGTAGTTAAATGCGATTTGTATGACCAGTTTGTAATGCATTTAATTTAATCTAGTTTAGATAATAAATTATTTTTTACCACGATCAGCCCTAACACATATTAATTTAGTTAATTAATACAATTATTAATTTTAAATTATGGTGTATTTTGGCTGCGCTAACAAATAAAGGTAAAAACAAATATTGTGCAAAAATTAATTAAATTTTTATTATAGTTTTAATTACAGTAATCTTTTTTAATTTTTAATTAATAATTCATTTTATTGTGCATTTAATGTGAACGTTATATGAAAAAACAATTAATAAATAAGATTTTATACATTAATTAACTGTAAGTTTGACTTAAGTATAGCGCAAGAAAAGTAGGCTTTAAAATAATTACAACATATTGTAAAAATTAAATTAAAGGTTTGGTTAAATGTTTAGTAAAGCATTAAGTTTAAAATCAGATCCAAATGGGATTTTTGTATTCAAAAAAATTAGAAAATTAATTACAAAATGACAAAAAAAAATCTGTTTTACAATCTGTACAGTAATTAATAAAAATTAAATGAGATGTTAAGCAAAACACACGTTTGTTTGCGTTTATGATTAATAAATAATTTCCAAAACAATTTAAACACAAAAAATAACTAAAAAATTATGATAAATTAAAACCAATTGATTGACTATTCAATAGACTTAACCACTGATTTAATTCACAAAATGTTTGCCTTTTAAATGCATTGATATGTACTCCAGAGTCTTGGCCGGGAAGCGACAGTCGAGGTATTGGCAGACATAGCGGGTGTGGCCGTCGATAAGGGAGCGGACAAAAAATGGTCGAATCCGTACCAATCGCTCCAACTGTTGCATACATAAGCCGTGTCTGGCCTTCGACACCGGTCTCGCGTTTCTCTCCAATAGGAATCGTTTGGTCTCTGGACTCACACGTGACTGACGCCGACCGGCATCGGTGGCCAAATTCTCTTCGATTATCTGTATGTCGTCGCCATCGCTGTCAGCGCCGGCGGAAACCTCTGGGACACTGTCAGCGGTCGGTATCGGCGGCGAGCACTCGACGTACTCATTACGGATGGGACACAAGTGCTGATTATGGATGTGACGTTTGATGGCCGTATGGGAAGTGGACTCGCGGTCACAGATAGCGCACTGGTATACCTTAGAGCGGCCGTCGGGTCCGATGGCACTCCGCCGGAACTTCATAATGTTCTTATTGCCGCACACGCTGTTCATATAGCGGCCATTTTCAATGCCGAACCCGCACTTGTGGTTCAACTCGTGTTGCCTAAGACTAGTGGGGTTTAGATAAACTCGTCCGCAGCCCAACTCGCGGCACGCGAACCGCCGGTTCCGGAAGTGAGAGCAGTTCAAGTGACGGGCCATTCGCTGCGAGCGTTTGGCCCGAAACGGGCAGTACGACTCGTCCTGGAGTTTGTATCGGCACTGGTATTGCCGCAGACCGTCCACAACGTCCAACTGGTACCAGCCTTTCAGCGGCTTTAGTGACGCAAAGCCCTGATAGTTGGGGTCGTGTTGATGGCTCTCCTTCTTGTCCCGGTAGAGACTCCTGTCGGTCAGTCGTCGCCATTTATACCACTTGTGGCCCATTCGCTGATAGCCGGGTATCGTGCTGTACGTCCACTTATGGCCAGTTGTGTTGGCTTTAGCTTTATATGTATTAGTCGTCACTTTTGTGGTCAGATTAGCGGCCGTTTTGTCCACTCGTTTTTCGGTGTGTTTGAGTCGGTGTTGTATTAATGATTGCATAAAACAAAATGACTTTCCGCAGCCCTTCTCCAGACACGAGAACCGCTTTGTGTCCACATGAAAGTCATTGTCCATCGGCTGGTCATCGGATTGAGTATTCTTTAGCGGCGCCAATAATAACGGCTGACTAGATGTCCCGCCATTAGGTTTGGCAGTTGTGGGCACTCTATTGATAACGTGTTTAGATGTCGGTGCGAACGGACTGTCATAACGCGGCCGTTTCGGCCTCGACTGGCCTGAAGTGTGAGCCGGCGATTGGCCACTAATGGCGCGTTTCTTGTCCAACAACCTCTTCAACAGTCTCTCCGCCTCATGTCTTAATGGATCCGCAGGTATCGACTTATGGCTATTAAGCGGACGTTTTGGCACCGATTTGTCGGATGTGTGAACCGGCGGTCGACCATTGATTGAGTGTTTAGTTTCGGACAAACTCTTGGACTGTTTACTCGCGTAATGTCTGATTTGATCCGATTTTGTGGCCACGGATTTGCGATCTAATGGTAAACATATGACAAACACATTATATTACTGGTTATATCGTTCAATACGCTGTCTATACGTACGATCTTTGAGCTGATCCGGCATTCGGTGAACACCTTTGATCAATAGAGTCGGCGGCAGAGGAATGCGCGGCGACTTATGGCCACTCTTTCGGTGGCCATCGTTTGAGCGGCGATTGTCTCGATGTGTGTCTCGAGGCAGAGGTGTGCGGACGACGACGGGTGCGGCGGTGGCAGCGGTTGTGACCTCTTGTGGCCACAAGTGGTCGCGAAACACGTGACAAATAATGTCTTTGATATCTCTGAAGACTTCATCGCATTGTTTGCAGTCGTAATACTCTTTACCATTGATTATCTCCTTTCCGTACGCGTTGTCCACTCTCTTAGGGGACCGCATGTCTTGACCGGTGACCACCGCTCGCGAGATGTCCGCTAAGACTTGTGTTGTCGTTGTTTTCGGTGATAATTGTTTCGCATTTCAACAAATAGTGATTTTTGTGACACAAATATATTTTGAAACGCAAACCAGACGTACGTTTACTTTGTATCCATAAATAACGTGCACTAAGAGTGACATAACGTATGGATTGTTGTGTATTGACTGCCAATGGCTGAGGGTTTGGGTCAGTCATTGCCCCCAACGGCACGTTATTTAAGTTTACATCACTTTTTATTAGACTTATTCAATGTTTACAACGAGTTTTCAATGATTTTGCTTTGTATGGCAGTGAAGGGGGAGGGGGTGGAGGGGATTGAGGGGTTGTTACTATAAGACCGTTATTTAAATGTTGAATTGTGGTTAAAATTAATAAATTTAACACAGAATGGTGAATGAAATTAATTTTATTGTTTTTATATTGCGTTACTCTTAATTACAATTAAGATAAAAATATTTTGCGATTTATAAATTATTTTAAATATGCATTTAAACTTAATTTAGTTTAATATAAAAACTAGATTTAAGATAAGCTTTACAATTAATAGGCTAATTATATGGAAGCATAAATAGGTATTACAATAGTTATATTTCAGTCATATTTAGG